ATATATGATCGAGAATTTTTTTACGCAGTCATGTGTTTTGGATTTATTTATTTTTTGTGTTTACGTAGCATGTATCTTTGATTATGTTTCAACGAAAATATATATCTCCATGATAAAAGAATTGAATATATCCGTATTTTATATAAAAAATGGCAAACATACAATCTAAAGATGACTTGTTGAGAGAATTGAATTATAAGCTTGTAGCCGAGGTTGATAAACTTAGGAAGGAGAATGCAGAAATACCTGAACTTAAAAAGAAATGTACTGAGATTGAAACCGAGAATATAGAACTTAAAGCTGAGAATATGAAAGTTAAGGCTGATAATGCGAAGTTGAAGCAAACTTTAAAAGAACATGAAATCAGAATCACGAATTTAGAACAAAGAGATAAAGAAAAAACTGTTACTAATGTTTCACAACAGGCAGAGGGAAGAGATGAATTCTCGAGTTTACAGCTTATCTCTGATTTGTCTACAGTAAATTCTAATAATGCTCCTGTATCTTTGGAAGATAAAACAATCGATGAGTTTCTAGATCAAAAAGAAAAGGAAAGGGTTAGTAATATGATAAGAGAAAAAAATAGGGAAAAGAAGCTTCAATGTGAACTAACCAAAAATCGATCTCAGAACTTAATTTCAGTTATTTCAATATCTCCAGAGCAAAATCATGTAAGTGGAAAAGAAAAATGGCAAGAAATTTCCGTTACGAACTTACGTGACAATCGACAAAATAAAACTAACGCTGAGGAACCTGATGAAATTGAACCTATTAAAAGTCAGTATATAGAACAAGGATTAATAAAAGAATTGCTTAATAGCAACCCTATTATATCGTCAGTTATAATACCAGAATATCAAACGTTTCAAATTACAACACAAAGCTTAGTCCATTTATTTCATTATGCATTACGATCTAGGCATGAAGAAATCCTAGCATGGTATAATTACTCAGATAATTTTGAAAATAGAGTTATCGAAATTTGCCATGAATTAGGGGTAACAGATAAAACTGCCAGAACGCAATTATACAAGGAAATGTTAAAAAATCTACCTGGTATTACATCAGGAAACTTGCGTATAAAAACTTTAAGAGCTAAAAAAATTCGAATGCTATTTGGAGAGAACGGAGTTGGAATAGATAAAATCAAACAAGTTACCTACAGTATATATGCTATCTCTACTCTTACTAATAGCCA